AGTTTGTTGTTCTCTGGTGCATTGATTGACGGTCCACTTTTCGGGGTCGGCTATTAGCTTCACGAGACAGGTGGGACGTGGACGGAACAGCACTTTATTGGCTGGGGGCTGACCAGCTTCGGCGGGCGGTAGCTGCTCAGTAAAGTGCGAAGCCCTCCCAAATTCCGGAAGAACCCCCAGGTACCCCGCCCCTACATCCATCCCGCAGGGATTTAGACCGGTAAATCGCCCCTCCTCGTGTTTTCTGCTGGAATGACCTCTCCAGAGGAGAGAGTGGATAGTCAAAAGAAGCCAGGTACCCAAGCAGCTGGCCTTGTGAGACTGAGTTTCGTCTGGTCTCTATCCATTGATCTGTTGGGCATGATTGGATCTGCAGCCGTGAGGAGCCATCTTGTATACTCGCATAGTCATGGAGGTGCGTTTAAATGATTCAGTTGCAAATTAAACCACCATTAACTATGCACTGTCGTGCGGTAGTTTTGGTTGCTGCCTAGCTACTGTCCGTTTGGGTGAAGGAAAAGCGGGAAGATCAGAATGCTGAAAGTAACCTCAATGAGAAAAAAGAGAACTCATGAAAATCAAGGTTGCGAAATCAGGAAACAAAAATCTGGAGCACCTCATTGAATGCATTTTTCCCACCATTTACGAGTATACTTCAGAGAGTGAAACGTTCCAATCCGCCTTGACGATCCTAGAGAAGCTTTGCGTGAAACCGAACAACGAGGTTTTTGTTCGACACATATTCTCTGCCAGTAAACAGGAGGCATGTCAGAGTCTTGATCAGTTTATGCAGAACCTGATATTACTTGCAAAAGACTAACTTTATAGCCGTCATGACCGAAAAAACAACGCCATATGAGACGCTTTCATCAGCGGAATGCAGTCTAATAGCATCCGCCAGTCTCTTGGGAAACCGGACACTTGACCTAGAAACAGCATACGAACAGGTTAGAACCTTGGAGATGGCATATCAGCAGTCCAGCGCCTTCCACCCAGTCGATTCCGCTTACACAACTGCATTCGTTGACTCCAACATACAAAACGAGTCTACATCGAACTTGGTGCCCCGCCAACTCAATTCAACTCAACATGCGCTGTTTCTTCTGCAGATATTCCAAACATCCTCGTTTCAAATGTCCGGCTAAAGGTGCAATCTGCAAGTCTTGCGGAAGAAAAGAACATTATTAGAAGGTTTGTCGATTCAAGGCAAACTAAAATTCATCGTCTGTTACCAGCTCTCTGATATCCTCCATCACTCTCGCTGCGGCTCCATTATGTCTATCCAATGCAGTTATCCGGCTCTCTGTAAACGAAATATCTCTCCAGGCTCTCCTTGACACTGGTAGTTCTGCTAGTTACATATCGAAAACATACGTGGAAGGTAGAAAAATCTCGCAGTGCTGTATCAATGGCTTCAATGAACCCAACCAGTTTCACCCACGGACACTGCTTTGCTGCTTAATTGCAGAAGAACCATCGTTATACAAATAGCAAGCGTTCGGTGTTAGGTAACCTCTGTTTAGATGTCGTCTTTGGACACGATTTCTTCCGAATACACTCAAAAATAGAATCTTACCTAGCCAAACCACCGCATACAACCCGCAAAGTAACGAACAGGTTGAGCGGTTCAACGATACACTTTGGCGTGCAATCACCCTAGCCGCCAAATCGAGATATTTATCTTACAGCGATTGGGGAGTTCTTCTCCCTGCTGTTTTACCTTTTCTTCGTTCCCTCTTGTGTACCGTTGCAAACCAGTCCCCTCATGAACGTCTGTTTAAGTGTAATCACAAGTCAACATCCGGCGAATCACTGCCAAGTTGGATGACTACTCGTGGACCGGTTTTAATGAAGCGCCTCCCTCGGTTACGAGCCACTGGTTGACGAGGTAGAGCTGATTGGATGCAATTCAAGGTACGCCCACGTCACACTTCCAAACGGCAGAGAAGAAACGGTGTCCATTCATCATCTAGCCCTTCTACCATCATCGTGCCCACCAACAGTCCCCGAAACTTCATTCATCGAACCTATATCAAATGATGCCCCTATTGACAGTTTACACAAACAATCTGCCGATGATTTTATTTCACGTCATATTGCAGACTCTCCCCGGTCCGCGAATAGCCAACAACCTTCGCTTTTAGAATTACAACAACGAACTCGCCCGTATAACTTAAGAAGCAGAGGCCTGACAACATTTTCTTTACTGGGGGAGAATGTCGTGTATCACAATCTTTGTCTATTGCATATCGCCCTATACATAACATTTCTCTTTTAAACGTTTCAGCCCTACATCTCCGGGCTCTCAGTCGATTGTTGTCATCTCGTATTCAGAACGTAACGACTAATTCCAGCTTTTGGTTCAATATTTGCATAACATGAAGAGCACACTAATTTTAGCCTCTTCTAATCCACTGTCGGTAATTTGCCCAGATTCAAGTGTAATTATCACTACTGATGAAAGTCAAACACCTTAGTTTGTAGTCAACAATGACCAATAACTGTTGTTCAACGTTAAATGGTCTGCTAAAGAGAAAGAAACTGATATACTAAAAAATAAAATGCATCTATTTACTATATGAAATGCACAGTGCTCAAGTACCAGCAGCAGAATCACGCTTATAAAGGAGCCGGTCTGACACGAAGTCAAACCAAAACAGACTGGTGTCATAGCACCAGTACCAGAGAATATTCCATTCGTTATGGTACTAAACGTACATTTACCTAGCTTTAGGAACAAAAGATACGCACCTGCTGAGAGGAGGACATGTTCCGCTGTAGGATGCCAAACTACTAGGCCTACCCGTCGCTGATGCGCGACCAGATCGGCGATAGGAACGGTCAAATTGGTTTTCGGTTCCAGGCCGCCTTCGGGAATTTGCCAAACCTTAACAGTAGCATCCTCTGAGGCACTAGCGATTAGGTCGTCATTATGCGGGCACCATTGGATATCGAGAACACTGGCTTTGTGACCCGCTACGAGTGGCGCGTCACGTTCCACACGGCCAACCTGCAGTTGAAAATGACGAAAAAGGTTTTTAATTAAAAAAATTTAGCATGGGTTGACATTACTGAAAATGAGTACCGTGTATGAGGACACTGTACGTACTCGATCAATTGGAAGCACCAAGAAAGCGCCGCCGCCAGCTGCCTCTGTAATGATCGCTAAATACTTTGGATTCACAGCACAAAAACGGGCGTCCCAGCTGCTTTTGGTAATTCGAATATCTTCATAGCATTGCTCCTTCTTCAAAGGTTTGCCAAAAACATGCTTGAATTTACTACGGCGCATAAACATCTGGAATGATAAAATCAAGGCGTTGAGTGAGTGAAAAATAGGGGATCTGTTTCCCCGTAAAACGTAGGCAATTGAAATTATTAACTGCTGCTAAGTTTGAAACATTTGTATAAATATGGATATGCAGAGGGGATGGGGAGTGTATCAATCAAGGTCGGAAAAGCTGCAAATCACTGTGATGGACACAAAGAAAGCTGCGTATCTGCACATCGGTCAACAGCCCATCTTGATACGAAGTTATAATAGAGTGGTGGCGGCCATGTCGTACAAGTCGCTAATGCCGTCGTACTCGCGGAAGCGAAGTTTGAACCCTGCCACCGGCCCTCAGCCTTGTTGCTGAGCGACTGAGGTATCGTCCGACCCAATAACAATCCTATACTGTTGAAATTTTATGTAGTTCGCTGCTCCAAGCAAGAAGACTTCAGTTGCCGATTAACGAAAGGGTGACGAGCCATGAGATCAAGGCACTCTGATTTGTACTGTTTGTTTCTCAAAAACGCCCAAGTTTGGAGATCCATTTTTGGTTTCTTCTTTATACGCCAAACACGATTGACTGAATTGTCAGTTATTTTTCACCGTTGGATTAGGAGTTCAAAGACAGTGAAATGACTCTGTATAACTTTAGAATATAGCATAGTAGTTGAAGTTTTCTGTAGTGGTAGCACCTCTGGTTTAGAAACCTGCTATTTTCCTACAGAACACTCACCCAAAACTAACTTCTGGTTTCATAAAGTTGCTTGCATGTGGTAATCATCATGCCCCGACAACCGTTTGACAGGCGGGTTAAACGAGATGAGACTAGTCGAGGTCCCCGGTTCAATACCACACCTAACCTATCAAGGCCTTACGTGGTTCGCCACTCCAAGTCCCCAGGCATAGGCTACCGGTTTCCATAACTGAACAGCAGGTCCTCGTGACTATGGGGCCTTCTCCGTCTGTTGTTTATCACAGGAAAGTGTAATAAAATTTTTTTAAACACGGCGAGCTGCAGCTTTACTCATGAACGTAAATTAGTTCCTGCTGACTGAGCGGATATGATGTTCCCGATCCAACGATTAGAGGTTTGAATCCAAGCGCTTCATTGTCCAAAATCCTAATGCATTGTATGTATATTGTATGTATGACTGTAAAGATTACAGCTGCATCCTCAAACAAGGCAGAGAAATGCTGGGAACGTCATTCGTTCAGAATGCCCGATGACCTTCGTGAACAACAATGATTTGTAGGCCGTTTTAAGACCGAGATTCGGATCATTGTGTCTGTACATGTGCCGTCTGATTTTGTCATAAGGTCCACTTGTCCTCTCATAGAAGACAGTTGAAGTAAAGCCAATTAGCAAGACATGTTACTAACTAACAAACTGCGACTTAATCTACCTGTAATTAGGGGAATATTTTACCTCTTGTTAAAAATGCTGCTAGATGACATTACCAGAGGTTATTCGGTAGAACTTTCGAATTACAAGAGTCGTTGCTAAACAGCACATCATTCACCTACATCAACTTCGACAGTAACACCAGAAAACAACTTGGTCTAATTAATCGGCCAGGTGAGATTGTTGGATCTGTAGTATGCATGCAACGTGCTGCTAAGTGAAGTTCCAGGTAAGTCTCAAGTTTTTCTGGAAAGTTTTAGTGCTAATGTAGCTATGTTCGATATGCGTTTTGCACCTTCAAAGTGTAAAATAAAGCTATGTCTCACCTGGTGGATGTCATAGTTGAAATGTGGGCACGCATATAGAAGGCTCAGTTGGCATTTGCCAAGTTGAGACATCTAAGGCGCCGTCGCGGCACCCAGCTCCCTGTGAATGGTCGAGTATATTCCGCGGCGATTAGGTCGTTCACACCCTACGGTGCAGATACCTGGCCATTATGGCGACAGGATAAAGACAGGCTGTCGGTGTTTGAATACCACTATCTACACAGCATTGCACGAATCTGGTGGGGCAGCCGGACGAGCAATGCTTCGGTTAGACGAAGAGTTTTGGGTAACTGCAACCGTTCACTGAAGCAAGTAGTCAACCTCCATCGATTACGTTGGATAGGGCACGTTTTACGCGTGTCACCAAACAGGTAACCACGGCGAGCGATGTTTGCCGAGGCACGTAGCGGATGGAAAAATGTCAAGGGTGGTCAAACTCAGACCTGGCATGAGGGTATGAAAACCCTAACCAGGACACTGGGTCACATAGGTAAGGTTAGGCTCCTTGGATGAGCACCCCAAGATCATGGTGACCGGCGGTTAGAGACGTTGAGTGATATGGCCCAGTGTCACAAACATTGGCGCTCGTGCATCTACTAAGCACTCTTGTAACCGCAGTCCATATGAATTATCTGTCTTCATTTTGACTCTCTTCTTAGCAATTCAATTCTCTGCTCTTTTATCCAAATGGGCAACCAAAAGAAAACAATCAAAACCGGCGCACGAAAGTGTATGATTAATGGTTTAAAAACCGAACTGAACTGATATTTAATTGACATCTATGCTTTCGACTGGTTCAATACCACGTCTAACCTAGCGGGACCTTATGCGGTTTACCACTGCAAGTTTTGAGGGTTATGTTTCTCGCTTTCCATCACTCAGAAGCTGGTCTTTCAGACTATGAACTCAACCACCATCATGCGTGTCTAATACGTAAATAAAAGGAATGGTTTTCTATGGTACTTTTTAGCAACTGAATCATGAGGAAAACGAAATCCGATATGACTATCAGGCTCATTCGCCTTCGAAAACCAAAGCCAGAATGTTTCATTAATACCGAACTCATGGTACCATTTGCGTGAGTCAGACCAAGCAGCTTCAGAAAATTTCTGAATGTGTTACGTCATTGAATCCCAATCTATCTAGAAACATTCGCGATGTTCCCTAAAGCCTGTTGGAACCTACAGTTTCAGAGGGAACATGTAGTATTGGTTGAACTCGAGGAACAGGTTCTCAGTCAGGGAAAACTGAAAAAAATCGAGGAACGAAAGTTTCCCAGAAATCATCAGCAACGGAATTCAATTCAGTATGTACAAACATGCACCTTCTTGTGGCGGCTTTGCGTGCTGTCTTTTGGCTTCCTGTCTAGATAAGGGATAGAAGGAAGACTATAAATCCGAAAGCAGCGTCGAAGAGAAAATGGAGAATTCCGGTAGACTAAGGTTGTGAAGAAATTGAGATGTACCATTGTTTACGACACTTAGCCATATCACTTAGTGTCTCTAACTATTGATTATAATGATCCCGAGGTTTCCATACAAAACAGCCTGACGCGACCCGGTCAGGGTTTTCATAGCCTAATGCCAGGTCTGAGTTTGACCACCGTTGACTTATTTCGACCCACTATCTGTCTCGATAAACATCGCGCCATGCGCAGTAAATACCCCAACAAATGTAGCCTATGGAGGTCGATCACTTGCAACCGCGACCGCCTAAAACTCTGCACCTAACTTCAGCATTGCTTGTCCGGTTGCGCCATCAGATTGGTGCCCTGTGGCGAAGACGTCGTTCCGACACCGACAAAGTGCTGCGTCTGTATAGTGATATATATATCTTCATTGTACAGCGGAATACCGCAGAGCGAACTCATAATGCATACAAGGTGTGTGAACGTGTATGGAGGATAGCGATTGAACCTATTTTGGGGGACGGGGAAAGAAAGTGAACCTTCATGGTCAAACCACTGAGTATACAGTTCAATTGTACATAAACACTACCTCCAGCATTCTGGTCTGATATCAAGTGATAACAAGAACACTGTCGCTTTGCTATTTTCAGCCATCCAGTTGCCGAGCATTTTTGACCCCAATCAGGAAAACGAGACTCCTCCTCTACCTAATCGCTCTGTGNTCTCCATTCTGGAACGACAATTGCAAGGAGCGCTGCGGTAGGCCACCGCTAGACATACGCAAAAGGTGTCCTAACAAACGGACCTTACTGAGTCGAACTCGATGCCAGATCGAGTTCTTGTTTGATGCACTCTTGATGCACACCCAACGACTTACACTTGGGTTACTACCCCGCTCATTCCATCACACCTGGGTCAGACTACGTCAGTATCGATTGTCGAGAACCTTCAGATGATAAATGTCTTCTATCCGCAAATCCAAGGTATCAACTGTAAAGCAGAACTGATCCTAGGGCGGCGCAGTATACGCGACTTTTCTATTTCAGTGAAACGTCACGTCATCACCATAGGTGTGTACGTTTCTCGATCCTCGGAAACGCCTGCGGTTATTCTCTTTGACGCGTTACCGTCGTTGGTCACGCAGCTACCCAAGTATGAGAAGCAGTCAACTTACGCTAATTCCTGACCGTCGAGTTTCATAACGGGAATCGGCAACACAGTCTTGCAGCATCACTTTGCACTTTGAAGATGCGAAGCGCATGCCGAACGGAGCGACAGAACTTGGTAATCTGTTAAGTGCTCCTTGTGCATCCTCCACACATTCGAACAGGCAAACGATGCTGTCAACGTATTCTAGGTCAGTTTTTCTCCACCTGCTCATTCAATACCAACATTTTGGAGACCACTCCACCACCACCACTCTAGTATTTTACCTACGATAAAATGAGACAGGAATGGCGAAATAGAACGCCCTTGACGGACACCGCCGCTAGTTTCAATCCACTGGGTTCACCGTAAAATCTAACGCTATCAGAAATGTGCGAGTAGGTTGACCTCGGTATGTTTACATACTCCAGCGGCATACCGTTTAGAAGGAACGAACCCATAAGGGCTTCACGGTCAACTAAGTCAAAAGCTCTTGTTAGATCAAAGATCACGACAAACTTTGGTCGACGGTGTATGGTGTAGCTCCGGGACTTGACACGTGAATACTTGGTCTATGCAACCGCGACGTGGTAGAAATCCTGATCGTTTTTCACGGATTTTCGTCTCCCTGAAGGAAGTTAGACGACGAAGTATGAGGGAGGCTAATATTTTGGTGACGGTTGGGATCAACCCTATTCCGCATTAGTTGGCTCAATTGTTGCGATATCTCCTCTTGAAAATCGGA